CTGTACATGCACACACACTTGCACAAATACCACCATCGGATTTATCATTATCAGAAATGCTGAAAAATGGATGTTGGTGGATTGATATCCTATCACCAACAGATGATGAAATGATGGAATTTGGTAGGGTAAGCGTAATGTTATCAATATTAAGAAAAGCAATTAAATAACTATAAATGACACTTTGAAATTTACTTTTATTTTATTTTCTTTAAAAAGATATTTGGTATACATCCTTTGACCATTGAAGATATAGAAACTGAAGAAACACGTGAAAAATGTGAAAAATTTAATGATTATTATTTTATTTGTTTCCGATCTTTTGATCAAAATCATTATTCTCCAACATATTTACAACCAGTAAACCTTTATATGATTGTGATGAAAGAAGGAATTTTATCGGTATATACCTTTTATCTATAATAAATATTTTTATTATTATGGACATTTAAAGTTTTAAAAAATACCTTTTTTGGGCAATAATAATAAATAGTTTCATTTTCGCCCAACACCGCATCCAGCGAATGTTAGACGTAGAATAGGAATTAAAATAGTTCCTAATGCTGTAAGTCTAGACAATATATCATTAATCTGATTATTAGCTTGTGTCATCTCAATTGAAATTTGTGCCAAATAGTTTGAATGTGACCTAGAAAGTATTTTTTCATAATGGTTCAAATTCTGAACCATTGTAATAATGTGATCTAAAAAAAAACCATGTAAATCATAAATATTGCAATAAATATAAACACAAACACAAACACAAGATCCAATTACAAAAGACTATATGCTTGTAATGGATTATAAAAAAGATAGAAGTCTTCAAAATTATGATGAATATTCATTTAAGAGAGTACAAAAATATGGGAAATGTCCAACTTGTGATAGATATAATACTCATAGGGCATGGTGTCAATCATGTGATCTAAAAATATTAACTGAAGGATGGACTAGTGGTAATAAAACATTAGATGAATTGATTAAAAGTACACAACTTATAGTAACAAGATATGATAACAAACATCATCTTCAATGGATTCCTCACAAAGATTTAACAAATATTGAAAAGATAGGTGAAAGTATGTTTGCAACTATATACAAAGCTACTTGGATAAGTGGTTGGAAACATATTGACAAGGATAATAAAAAAATCAGTGAAGATGAAATTGTGGCATTAAAAAAATTACATAATTCACAAAGTATTTCAGATGAATTTCTTAATGAGGTAAATTCTTCTTTTAATATTTTTAAATATTATTTATTATTGCCATTGACTTTTTTTTTTCAGTTCAAAAATTACCTTAAGTTTCATGATAAAGAAGATATAATTAAAATTTATGGATCAACACAAGATCCAATTACAAAAGACTATATGCTTATAATGGATTATAAAAATGATAGAAGTATTCAAAATTATGATGAATATTCATATAAGAGAGAGCAAAAATTTGGAGAATGTCCAATTTGCAATAGATATAATACTAATTGGACATGGTGTCAGTCATGTGATCCAAATCTATTAACTGAAGGATCAACTAGTGGTAATAAAACATTAGATGAATTGATTAAAAGTACACAACTTATAGTAACAAGATATGATAACAAACATCA